CTAGAACTTCTCCGATCATGGCACCACGGATTCCGTCACATGACCCAATCAGCACTAACTGTTCCATTTACTACCCAACGCTAGTAGGATCGGAGCGTGTATCTCAGCAGCATGCACCTGGCGCCTGTCCCCATGGGTACCCTTGCCAGCTGATGCTACCGCTGTTCCGTCGATTCAACACTTACTTTCCCTACACACACACACACACACACCAACACACACCCCACAGCCACACCACACACAACCACACTGCCTTCACGTCCACAGCAAGACCGCACACAGCAACCACACAACACACACCACACCACACACACACACACACACACATACGTTTTGGTCCCTTTCTTACTTAGAGTATCGTCTCTTTTCGGCGTATATACAGTTAAGTTTTAAACATGCTACCTGTTCATCCACATTGGATGGTGATTACCTGACGAATGATCAACCCCCCCCTGCTAAGGGCGGTCTTAGTCTTTTCTCTCTCACCAGCTAGGTCGACTGGCAATGCACTTGAGCATTTCGAACTCAATGTTAGTGCATTTGAGGCACACATTCACACGGGCTGCTTACTGGAATGATTTTCATCAAGATACGGAGGATGAAAGTATTATCCGAGCAGGTCAACCCGGAATTTATCGACGGATAGTGTACTCGCGACCCGTGATAACTTTGCCCGTCTTGCCTGTTAGGGGGGGGATCTTTGTTGATAAAGTGACGTGTGATGTAAGTGATGTCTACTGAAGGACACGCGGACCTTGGAAGCAGCGATGACACATTTTATAGTAACATTTTTGTTAACGGGGACTCTGTTACTGTAGGTCACGTAGAGGGGAGCGTCGAACCAACGCGAGTGGGGCAGGGACCCACTCCAAACCGTATTCTACGATAAGTGTTAGAAGATGGACTCGTATGATATTGCTGCTTAGAACCTAAAATCAACCCACAAATTTCCGAGCGAAATATAGGGCGAAGGTTCGAAGTTTGTCTTTTACCACACACCATGGTCCGGCTCTTGTGCCAACAATATTCACGCAATGGCAAACCAGTTCACCTTTCAATTCTCGAAGTCAATCTACCACACCGTGTAAGGCACCTCAAAACAGCAGCCGGGTCAGCTAGCGAAAGCTTAACCCTACCTTTTTTTTATATATTACCTTTCCCGTTGCGCTTTCACAGTCGACATTTGGAAGATCGAGGAACGTTCATCTCAGTTCCTCCCAAGTAACTCTGTATTACTCAGGTCAGGCAGGCATGTCGTAGACGGTAGCCGTCGTTTTCTACCACTGGGTGTTTTCTTCCTGGACCAGTAACTATGGGAGTCGTGTAATTCTCCCGATCGTTCAGGTCACCATGAACCCGCAAGCGGTACAGTTAACGGTTAGGAGCTCGAGTGTGAATTTTTAACGAGGGTCGGGTGTATGATCCGCCAGTTCTTTCAACACCTGCGCGTTCGATCTCGAATCCTCTTCAAAACAAGTGGACCAATTGGTTAACCGTCATAGCTACGAGAACAAAAACAGACCCAAGTTAAACGAGCCATCGAGTAGCCGAGCAACGAGGCAATAGACGACATACGCGTCTGTCGGATAATAACTTCAAGCAAACGTGGATGAGGAGACTTAATCTAACCTTGTCTTAGTTCTGAGCCGATATCCTCGCTGCTGCGAATAAATAAATAGGCCGAACTTTGATGCTGCAAACAAGGCACTTCTGTTATTTTACCGTGTTGAAATATTGCGGTGGTGAATCAGAGTACGGTCTGGAGCATTACATCTATCGCCTGTTCCTTTACTTTTGTAAGCATGTAGGTTCGAGCGTTTAGTATCTCATTTACTTTGAATGTGTGGTGTCTACGCTTCGCATGTCGCGGTCTGCGAAAGAATACTGCAAGAAATCATGTATGTGAGGAATGACAATGTTGTGTGCTGGACTCGGAGAGCTCATAAGATAGGCTAGTCCTTCCTTTTAGTCTTCAGAGCATTTGGATGTGGGATTCTGGACAATTGTGAATAACGCGTACAAGTGATCTGAGGCGTGAAATCAGACGTATCGACCGGTATTGCCGCGGATACCGTGCATTACACCCAACGGCGTGATTTTCTTTTGCTTGCGTTCCGCTATATTAATATATCCCGTTATTTCCGGACTATATTTTAACCATCAGTTACTGTAGGGTCTCAAAAAGGACCGGGATTCGAACAACCACACGCACTGGAGCATACTCATTTTGTCAGTTTCCTTTTGCCTGATTTTTTCCCTTGCGCGGGGATCATATCGCGTTTGCTTGCTTGCTATTTCTCAGGTACTGATACGAAATGAAATCTGACTGAACTTTATATCACTCATTGTTTTACAAAGTTCGGTAGTTCTTTGCTGTGTTATAATTCTTTTGTGTTCGTTTTTCAAAGTGTTTTGCTGAAATATACTGCCCATCGCTAATTGATCTTCGCGGTGATCCTTCAGTAGTTCTGTGTATCCTTTCTGCTAGATGCCAGCAGTTAAGAAAGAAAAGTAATTCCGACATGAATTGGGCTCGTGAGGGCGCGTTTGAGCAGCCGAGGAGCGCGGTCGATCGAATGCCACGGCAAGCATGGTTTATGTGCACGAAAGGGACCTCTTTGTGGGATCATCTCCACATTCGCAAAAAAGGTCAGTCTGGTCTTGTCTTATTTTTTTCTGAAGCGATAGTTTCATTCTTTGCGACGAAAGCATTATGTCAGTCGGATGGGTTTGACTGCTGCCAATCCTATTTTTCACAGTTTGTTGAGACGAGTCAGATGCCAAAAACTGTATCATATTTCTTCGCACACTCTTTTTCTCCAATTATGTCGCCTAAGCTGCTCAGCCATAGCAGCGACAGCTCGTGTCGCGGAGTGGTTGCACTTATACCGGCTTGACACGCACTTTCGATCGGCAGACGAACATAGAGTGACCAAGATCAAATACAATTGTGAGATCTTGTTTTCTTATTAGCTTTCAGGAGGATAACCAGCCTGACCGCGGCTGCTGGCGGCAAGGAGTTTTTTCAGGGGTCCGTGTTTATTTCAGTAATACCGGGTGAAAAGTATATTCAAAGAGAGCTGGCCGAATTAGTGAGAAAACCCATCGGAGGCGAAGCACTTTTGGAGACGCTCTTCTCTGCTGAAGGTTTGCTTGGATATCTTGCTGAATAGAGTTCTATGATTTGCGTTAAAACAAAGGTTTAATTATTGACTTACACTCGAGGGACGTGCAATTCTTGCCCACTATATGGGCGCTGTGGGTGTACCGCGGCTGCGCCACATGTTCCGTACTCAATTTCTCCCTCACAAAGTACTCGCGAGCGTGGCTTGTAGTGTCAGTTCTACACGAGTGTCGTTTCATAGTACGATACCCTCACTGTTTGACAGGCACGTTGTGTCGACACTACCTTACTCCTTGCAGCGAACTGTATTGTAGGTAAAAACGCTTGGGAGTATGACAGGACGTGCGATGTTAGCATGTTTTGGCCGTTGCCTAGCTCTGTTAAGTCTGCGCGAGATAGCTTGGCGAGTTTCTGAAAACGGCATACAGGTATCACTTCTTCCAGCCCTGTTCCCTTGCACTTTTTGAGAGGGACATGTTACTGGAGCTGCAGACCCATTCACTCTTACATTAGTTTGGGTGCACAGTTTGTCTTTAAGCCGTGTTCACAGCTACCCCTGAGTTGGGGGATTGGATAATCAGTAAAGCGGGGGATACGCGTTAACCCTCGTCTCGGGCACCCGGGTCGATAGAAATTTTCCCCTTTCCTCTATCCTACTCGCTGATTCTTCATTTTTCAACTCCTCGGAACGCCCAGTGGGCGTGGCAGGGAATCGTACCTGTAGCCGGTATCAGTTCTATCTTGTTTTTTTTACAAATACTCCAGTTCCTCGGTTCTTAAACTCTGCGATTCTTCTGACCTGTACGCATAACTCTCCTTCATCTCTTATCCGCCAGCTTTCGGATTTCGCAACGGTATGGAGTCGGCCTTAGGTCGCGTTGATAATTGCGAACATGTGTATCCTCTAATCAGGAGTGCGCCTTAAAAGTTTCATTATCAATCGGGAGAATCCTTACTTTCTTCCGATTCGCTTGCTCTCCACTTTCGCTAGTTATAAACGCGGGCTTAAGGACGCTTTCGGCGATCAAGTGATCAGTGAAATACCTCCGTGCATTTAACACGCACTCACCTGGCGTGTACCACGTTCCCCTCTCGAAAAGGCGATAGAAAGCGGCCACACGTGACTCTTGCACGCGCTGTTCTTTCCAGTCTGCAAGGCAATAACTTACATGGTCAATTACGTGTATGCATTTTGTTATATGCATCGTCGTAGCACGATTTCATGTGTTTGTCGCAAAGAATCCTAGCTTATCCGCTCTTCTGCGAGCTTACGCGTTGCCCTGCTTATCCTGGATAGTAAGCCAAAAAGTGCAAGACTCACGGTGTGTGGCCGCTTTATTTTGCCCTTGCGAAAGGTGAAAGTGGTACACGCTATGCGAGTGCGGGCCTAGATGTTAAATGCACGGGGCATTTCGTTGATCCCTTGATCGCTGTCTTTAAGGTTTTTTTTGTAGTAATGGAAACTTGTTCGGTGGAAGTGCTTTCTGAGCGTCCTTGGGTTTAGAACATCAGAATGTTGAGATTCCTGATCACATCAACGTGAAATGCGAGGTTCTACGAAAAAGGGAATGATGTTCCTGATTACAGGAAGAAATTGCTTGCTATATCGTTCCCAACAATCATTTCTAGTAGTTTCTACTGGGGATGAGCCGGCGAAGAGGAAACCATCCAAATTATCTGGGCACAATTGAGACCGTCATTAGTAACCAACTTTTGGAAAAAAGTTTCACCCACTCGAAGCTCATTCTGTTCTGAGTTGTGGCAAATTTCCTCATCTCCATTACCGCATGTTCCAGTTGTGCCCTGAGTGCTTGGAAAGCCCCACCCATAGCCGACTTGTGCTTGTACTGTTATATTCTTGCTCTTTTCGAACATTATGAATTATTTTACAGGTACCATGACTGTTAGTACGACCCGCAAAACGTGGGATCCTTACATTTTAATCAAAGCACGTGACGTACTGAAGCTCATGTCACGTAGCGTTCCATACGAGCATGCTATTCGTGTTTTGGAAGATGAAATTTTCTGTGAAATAATAAAAATATCATCTATGGTGCGTTCCTTCCCTAAAAAAACATTTCTTTTTATTAAGGCCCAATTTCTCGTTATATTTTTTCGGTTTGTATTATGTTTGCAGTGCCCAAATAAGGAGCGATTTGTTAAACGACGTGCTCGCTTAGTTGGCAATAACGGTGCCACTCTCAAAGCTATGGAATTACTTACACAGTGTTATGTCTGCATTCAAGGCGGTACAGTATGTGCTATCGGTCCGTTGGCAGGTTTGAAGCAAGTCAGGTAAGTAATGAATGTTTCACTGTTAAGCGCTAACGTAGTTGGTCAGTCTTGCAGTCGGACGCGCCTCTATGTACTTTTCCCTAACCGAGGCTTCGCTCAGAGCGCAGACGACCAGAGTCGCTGAGGGATAGATTTGCAGAAAAGGCGCAGCTTTCACAAACAATAAGCGCAGGATTCGTTTGGGAATGAACAAGGCGTTGCCGAGTGCTTCCTCCTCCCTCCCCGACTATCAGAAATAATGCGTACCTAACTACGTTAGCATTTGTTGCTACTACTTACAGAATGAGCATCTTTGAGTCGTTCACTACTTCAGTTCTATTGTGACGGACTGTATGAATAATATTCATCCTATCTACAATATAAAAACCTTGATGATAAAACGCGAATTAATGAAGAACGAGAAGTTGAAGGATGAGAATTGGGAACGATTTCTGCCGAATTTCAAAAAGAAGGTTGGTTGTCATTCGAGCAGCTTAGGCACCACTGAATTTGAAAACTTTGCAGATACAATCGTCATCTTCGACAAATGAAGCTAAAAAGAAGAAGAAAAAGGCATGGAAGAAGAAGGGTGAATACACTCCATTCCCTCCTGCGCCAACTCTTAGCAAGGTGTGTACGTTTCCACTATACAGTTTTGCTTTGTCTTACTTGATCTCTCGTTCCACCCAAACGGCTAATCTTTTGCGATGGTTTTAACTGATAGCATTTTTATGCTACGATTTTGTTCAGATTGACAAGCAGTTGGAGAGTGGAGAATATTTCATGACGGAAAAAGAGCGATTGTTGAACAAGAAGAGGTCAGTTTGTTTCGGGATAAACTGGGAGTGCAGGACGTTCCAAAAAACTGTCTGTTTGATCACATGTATGAGTATACTGTTCCTTTAAGCCCTAATTAGCATTACCCGCAAAGTACTGAAGTGAGTTATTTGATATTAGTTGGTTAGTTAGTTATTTGATAAAAGGACTGCAGTGATAATGATGTCGTGCGAGTTCGAGTGGCGAAACTCGGTATCTTAACTAAGAAACTCTCTTCGCGAGTCATAATCTTCTCAGCAGATCTTCACGATGAAATGCACAACCAAGTTTTCAGAGGAAAGAAAATATATAGCAACGAAACTGTATCTTTCTTCGTTCTCCATTGAGTTGGGATTGTTTTAGAGAAGTTTCACTGCTTAGATATAAGTTGTTTAGGAAAAAGATTGAAGCTGCAGCAGTGAAGTCGGAAGATCGTAAAAAGGAGAAGTTGAAAAAGTTCCAACCGCCGGTGGAGAAGGTAAGATATCTACTTCATTCCCCGTAGAAACTGGTGTGTTTCTGCCGCATGTTTAGGTGTTAAGGAATTCATTCATACTCTCGATAGTCTGCATGGGACGAGATTAACCTGCTCATACAAATGTTCTCCATAGGAACTCTTCCCATCGCTAAGGGTTCTCCTTGTAGTGATCTCCAAAAGATACAGCGGATGTTCTGGCCACGCGCAGCAGTTTCCTTCGCATCCCAAAGCACATTTTGTGGTTTACACGATGGGTAAGGTACCTTTCTTGTAGAGGTTGTCCTGACCCCGACTGCGGAGGCCATCCCACTTTCGCGCCTTGACAGTAGGTGAGGTGGGCCTTCACCTGTTTTGTTTTGGTTTCTTTGCTGATAGGTCAGTTAGCATCTACGAATCCATAAATTGGACCCCAAAGCACAAGAATTGCAATCGTGGAATGTTTCTTCGAAGAGAGAAGGTGATCTGAGTAGAAACAGTCCCAGCGATATTGAGACAGTGTTCAGTCACAGCCTCTTGTGCTTTTTACGGTATGGCTCATCATCACCACGAATGACCCCTAGAACTACCGCATCGCCCCGTAGCCTGAGCACATAGTGCCTTTTTGGGTGAAACACCCGTGTCGCAGGTGTAAGTCCCAATTTAACAACTATAATTTCCCCTTGACCTCTGCGTACTAGAGCGAAAAGCTCTTAACACTTCCCATGACGGTTCCATTACCGCGAACATTTTGTCTTCAATGTTTGCCACAGTTTAACCTGGTTATCTCTCTCCCACTAATGAGTTGAGTTCTTTCTTTAGCCGCGAGAGAAGGAGACACCGAAGCGACAGGCCGAAACCTTGGATGTGGAGAAGTTTAAAAAGAAGATCAAGAAAATTAAGACGTGAACTTTTATTATTATAAATTCTGTAGTATTAAAGATGTGCATTTTTGTTACTTGTTTTTGTTGACATATATGTTTATATCGTTTAGAGATGTGAAGAGATTGCTTCGTGTTTTCGATCACCGAACTGTTCTTTCTGTGTGGTGACATTAGGTCAACCTGTTGTGTTCGTGTTTCGTGTTTTGCAACATTCAGAAACATTTTTATGAATGGCAGCGATTGATGTGGACGGGCGGAACTTCCAGTACTGGTTGCCGCGTATTAAGAAATCCATAGAAGAGGCTGTATTCGTTTGTTAGTTTTTAATAATTTGGAATTGTTAGTACATGACTTCCGGAACACTTCTAAGCCAAATTGCCGATGTGAAAATGTGTGTAAGTTGAACCAAGTTGAGAATACGCGACACTAACGTACAGCGAAAATTTCGTGGAGGTTGGCTGCAAGAAACTCGAATATCAAAATGATGAACTTACACTCCTTAAATATTGCTGAACCGGTTGTGGTGCTCTGTAGAAGTAAACCATCGCGAACAGCGTCAACCGCGAGCCCAGGTGTCTCAGCATTTAGCGCCTAAAGATATTTTCCTGGTTTTGGAAATTCCCTGCAGTTATCCTGTTCTGTGGAAGCTTTTCTTGCGGCTGCGCCAAAACGGTTTTTTCTAAATGCGGTACACGATATTCGAATCATCGACATAGCACTTTGGTGTCTAAAAGGTCGTTAGCAGCTTTACGTTCTTTAGTGCTTATTTTTCTGAGGCCTTCACAGTTCTATGATGTGTCGATAGTAAGTAGTAATTAGAATTTATTGAGGCGGGGTGGCCTCCTTGGTAATGGGAGATCCTTAAACGGGGTGGTCTTGGATAGAGGTAGTAGAACGCTGACCACAAGGTGTGCCTCTGCATTCAGGCAAAAGTCACAATTGAGTATCTAATCACTTGTACCCTACGGACCATTAATACATTCTGCCACAATAATTCCATGGGTTGAATGTGATTCAAAATCAGGTAACCGCTAAAAGGACGCACCGGGCAAGGTTCTGCTGGCCATCCAGAACATAATGAATTTTTCTTTTTCAAATTCTGAAGGTCTTTGAGTGAATGAGTTCAATTCTACAATTGAAAAATTGTTTAATTACTACGCTGGTTTGTGCACGAAGACGTGCCTCGCATGCCCTGAACTGCAGTTCCTTGAAAGGCTTAATCGTTCACTTCCTATTGAGCAGGGGGCAGGCCGTCATCCTTACCAAGCGGCGGACGTTATGCTTGACCCTGTTCGGGTTTAGAGGCGAACTTTACCCTCACATCAATCAATTTATTAAGAGAACAAGCTGGGGCAAACGCCTCAGTGCGTGTTTGTTGTCTGCAAGCATACCTAAGCAAGGCTCGGAATTTAAAGCCGGAGTTGATTTTGTACGGGGGGGGGGGCGTAAGCGTGCGTCCATGCTTCGCGTCTCCGTTTTGAGCGTACGGCGGCGTTTTAGCGTACGCTAGCATTTCCAGTAGTCAGGCGCAAATACATGAAACATCTTGAGGGTACTTTCAGACCGCCAGCTCAATACCTATACTTTCGTAAACGCCCAAAACGTTGTCGTGCGCTCACAACGCCGGCGGCGGAACTGTATGAACGCGCTTTACGACGCATCATCGCGCAACGATGAACGCTGCGTAGGTAGAGCCAGAGCTCTTGAGTCGCGTCTTACGTCATTTAGCGGGAACTAATACTGTGGTCAATACCTATCAATTCTGCTGTTGGAGTTGGACAACTTTGCTACCCTACTATATATAATCCGCTGTGTCGTGCGCGCGCGTGTACGTGCGTGGGTTGTGTGTGTACGTGTCTGTCACGAAATTCGTAGCGCAGCAAAGGTAGAATGTTGCTTCCAAGATATGATGTAGAAAACAGAGGGTAGGAACATATTGGTGGGTGGGTAGGAAAGCGACTTGTCAGCTGACAGTATACAGTATGGGGTCGGATGAGCCCCCAAATTAATAGCGCCGTTCCCCTCAACGGATTAACGTTGGTTCCAATGTATGATGTAGGGCAGGGAATAAGGCAGCGTTTAGAGTTTGCGACGGCAGTGTTTTGGTGACGCACTCGGCGGGATCGATGCAGTTGAAAGCATGCGGATCGCTTCGAACTCGCGACCGGAAGCGCTGCGCGATCGCCGGAAGTTTGAACCGCCTAAGGACTGTGTTATCGGTGGGTGGGAGAAGGTGATAATAGTTGAGAACTCTGATAAGGGGTGTTGGAATGTGCGGTTATCAAGTTCATAGCTCTGGCTCAAGCAACAGTGAAAGTGGCTTATTCCAAGATATGACACAGGAGACTAGACAGGAGTATTATTGGTGGGTGAGCAGAAGGTGACAAGAGTTGATTAGATTTGAAAAGGAGCGTCAGGAAGAGAGGGAGACAGGCTCCATGGCGTTAGCCAGAGCAACGATGAGTATTGGTTCTAACATATAATGTATGTAGTGTATGGGACAGGAACATTGTCGGTGTATGATAGGAAAACGGTCAATTGGTGTCAGACTCATCTTACCCCTACCAGGAAAGGTCACAGAGTCAGCCGGCCATATACAATGAGATGCACATCATTGTACTCATCTTGACACGGTGAACTCGAAACTATCTTCAAAATTTGCGGAACGATTCTCTGAGCGGAGTTATGGAAAGGTTTTTCTTTACCGTTTTTCTTCCTTACTGAGCGCGCCGTAAGCAGTTGGCACCTGGTACGTGCTCGACTCGCAGCACTACTTCGCGCAAAAAAATAGGCTGTCATAATTTGTGTTCAGGGGGTCAAATAACCCCTAGAGACGTCATTTTAGCGAAATCTGAGTTTCTGACTCAACTTCGAAAAAATGGGGTATGGATAGTCATGGCTAACTGATAGCCAAAAGCCATACTGCGACTAGCACACTGGTGATGACTGGTCTTCGAACTGAAATAACTCTTAAGTCATGTCTTTTCGCAAATAACAGTACCTGGCTTACTTATTTGTGCCGTCTGCATCATTTTTCTGATTACCGGTAGGAATTCCATCCCGAGACCAGTCATCGATGGTAGGTGAGCTCGTAACTGCCGCTTATTACCCATGGAATAACTCACATTTTCCAAGTTAGGTCGAAATATCAAATTCGGCTAGGAACTTGTTCCCAGAGGTAATTTGACCCGCGCTGAACACGACTATCATGGTATTATACTGCAAAAACCCTTGCGACATGTACTACAGGGGGGGGGGGCAAGCACAAGCACTCTTCCAGGCCACAATGGGTCTACACTTTCGAAAAAAACTGGTCGCAGTTTCCTTACAGGATAGTGCAGGTGAGCAGAGGTGTTAGAAGCTTTGTCGGCCATGTTCTTGGACAAATGCAAAAACAAACGCCCTGCCGAGAACCGATCCTACAGCGATCTCGCCTAGTAAACCAACTCGCTATCCGCTGCGCTCTGACTTGACACGTTTTCAATCGGACTCCATACGTATATGTAAAGACGCTTCCACGTTTCCTCGCGATAGCATGTGAAACAGCCACGCGGGGATAAAACCCTCCATAACTCCGTTCAGAGAGTCGTTCCGCAAATTCTGAAGGTAGATTCGAGTTCACCGTCCCAAGACTCGTACAACGGTGTGCACCTCATTGGAAATGGCCGGGCTGACCTGTTGACCTTTCCTGGTTAGAGGCA